CCAATTATTCAACGGCACCTGTCTATTCAGCATGAAGCATCCAATTTGAGCACATACGAGCCGAGTAATACTGATGTAAACCCAAACAGTAAAAAGTCTGGTCTACTTGCTTCAGCGCTACAGCTCCTTGCTGACCTCCATTGCCATGGGGCGCTTCCTGCAATCGTATTCAACTACGATCGGCAATATTGTGAAAAAATAATCTCTTTTGTTGAAAAGCAGCTTACGCTCGCAGAATCCGATTGGAAAGATACAAACAGAATTGAATTGAAGAAGAAGGCTGCTGAATATGAAAAATGGAAGAAGACCTCCAAAACCCACGGCAAAAGGAAAGACAGGACGTCATTGTCCTCGCAGGATGGGCTTTGCAAGAAAGACATGGTCGAAGAAGCTACAAATCAGGACGTTAGCTTCTGGGAAAGCTTTGATCCAAAAGGAATACTAGACATGTTCTCGTTTGCTGACCGAACAAAATTACTCGACTCCGAGTTTGATGATATCATCGCGCCCCTCAAAAAAGCAAAGTTGAAACCGGGCATCATTGACGCTCTACGACGGGGCATGGGAGTTCATCACGCGGGAATGAATCGGCAATATCGCCAAGTGTAAGTCCATCTCGTCCTCGAGTCGTCGTCTTGTTGCCCCATTGACACTGCCTTGTAGGGTTGAGATGCTTTTCAGGAGGGGCTTTCTGAGGGTTGTGGTCGCCACGGGCACCCTGGCCTTGGGCATTAACATGCCCTGCAAGACTGTAGTATTCTTCGGCGATTCCGTGTTCCTCACAGCCCTGAATTACAATCAAGCAGCAGGGCGAGCTGGCCGCCGGGGGTTCGACCTTCTCGGAAGCGTTGTCTTCGTAGGAATGACTCCCGAGAGGGTTTTTGAAATCATGTCGTCCAGACTCCCCGACCTCCACGGCCAGTTTCCACTATCAACTACTCTGGTTCTGCGCCTATTGGGACTGCTGCATCACACAGCAAATTCGGAATACGCGGTCAAGGCGATTCAGTCCATACAGTCGCAAACTCGCCTCTACCTCGGTGGCCCATCCAATGAGATGACAATCAGACATCATTTGCGCTTCTCAATAGAGTATCTCCGAAGACAGCATCTATTGTCTCACACCGGGGCTCCCCTCAATTTTGCAGGCTTGATCGGCCATCTTTATTTTACTGAGAACGCCGTCTTTGCTTTCCACTCGTTGCTGAAGGGTGGTTATTTCCACGAGCTGTGCCGAACCCTTCACCAGAAGCCGCAAGAGCTTCACCTTGAGCTCGCACTTGTTCTCGCCCATCTGTTTTGCCGTATACCTCTCCGTTTGGGGAGTGACGAACCGACTGAGGACAGAATTCACAGGTCTCCATCTCTCGTCATCTTGCCACCGCTACCGAAACGGGCCGAGACTATCCTTCATGAGCACAATAACAAGACTCTCCACATATTTCGAAACTACGTCAGCTCGTTTATCGATCAATATCTCGACGGTCAGCCAGACAACCAGCTCCCTTTTACAAAACGCAAGGTTCAAGGGACAAATGGACGAGATGCATTGTCAATCATTGACCATCTCCCTCCACCCAAGCTCTGCTCACCATTTGCTGCTCTTTCTGGATTCACTGATGACTTCCAGTCTATCCACGATCTCTGCACTACCGTCCGAGACGGTGTCTTTCTTGAGGAATCTGGGGTTCCATACATCCCCATTCATCCAAATGATGATGCTCGTATACCCTGGAATGCCTACATCTATGACTTTTTCAAGCATGGAGACATGGAGGCGCTGGTACGAGATAACGGTATAAAGGGTGGCGATGTATGGTTTCACTTGAAGGATTTCTCGCTTATTCTGGCGACCATAGTCACAAGCCTCACAAACTTTTTCGAACAGGGCTCTTCCACTGGCGATGCCGCCATGATGGATGTGCAAAATTTGAGTGATGTCCTCCAAGACGATACCGGGGACGAATATGCCTCCGAGGCCAGGGATGAGGTTGATCAAGGAGCCCCGCAACACCTCGTTGCTCTCTCTGCAAAGAAGAAAAAGGTTGTTCTTGCGGAGTCATGGGACGATGACTTGAGCAGCGGAATCTCACAAGATGAGAACACACCTTCTATCCAGCCTAATAAACGCTACAGTGTCCCACCCGTGGAACAAGTATCCACGCCGAATGGGCCGAACGACGACGAGGTGAGTTTCAAGCTCGTGTTGACAGCTTTCCAACAGCTACAACTACAATTTAACGAGGTGTTTAAACGGGTTTGGGCTTAATTGGGGGTTCCATGTCAAGGGCGACGTTTGGGTTTGCGAAAATTTATACTACTCAATCTTTTACTGGGTGCCTTCAAGCACTCTTATCTCTTCCACTCATTTATAGAGCCATGAGCCAATTTTTTACTACGTTATTTCCCAGTAACTGTCTACCTCCAGTGCCTAATTACCTGCCGCGCGATGCACTTTTCTGCTCTATCAATGCACGGGCTGTGACGGGGGGATATCCTGGCCAAAGCAGCATCCATGCACTGGCTAATCATCCTTGAGAGAAAGGAATCTAGAATTAAATGCGATTTGATGAAAGTGGACGGATAAACGCTGCATGATTTGCACAACCAGGCTCACGGGAGTACTGGGAGAGTTACCTGTCGGAAACTGCCTCTGTAGACTAAACTCGTAGAGCTTGGTATAATTGCCGGTTATCGTAGCGTCGGCTATCAAGACTAAACATGGCCAAAAGTTAAATCTGGATAAGAGGAAGTTTCTTGGTATTTAAAAGAGTAGTATATACTCGTCTCTGATTCACGGCAACTTTTACTATATCTGTAACGCATCGAATTCACTACGACTTTCTTCCTAAAAAGCCGTGCAGCACTAAACCCAATCTAGCTGCAACGTGATCCAAGCTGGAATTCAGTGAGGTAGTAGATTGATATGTATTCTGGATTGCGAAGCAAGCTTGTTTCGTAAGATTAAATTCCCCAGGCTCCACAAAGTACCGAACCTTGGGCGACGAAAGATATCCAGCACGGAGTATTCGGTATAATTCCCGCTTGTCTATTGTGTTTTCCGGGGTCGCATGAATGTCATTAGCAAAGCAGATGAGATGAGACATCATGCTCTCATGGTCGACGGGTAAATTTTCCAGAGGCGGCTTCAGGACTGGTACTCGTAGAGGTCGGGAAGCCGAAAATGCCGTCAGCAACTCCTCCAAAGAGACCATTCGGTTGGCAAAGCGAAAGATGAGTCTCCTGGCAAAAAAGTCTTCTTCAATCGTCCAGAGTCTTTGTTTCCACAGCGAGTATCGTATCTGAATGAGAGCTTCTTCCGCAGACCAGAAACAATGCGTGGACAAGGAGGGATCCAGGACTAGAACCGCGGTTGCCGTCCCAAAGACCCTGCGAAGGGACGAAAGCATGAGTTTGCGACGCCTCAAGTTGGTGGTCAGTGTCATTGTGTCAATCCAGAAAGGAGTGTCGGTCTGTTCATTTTGGTGAGGGTCGATCTGATTAACCAACACTTGGATAAGAGTGAGTTGACAGAAGGGCAGAGAATTCTTTCTATCATTGCCAAGCCCGACGCTGCGTACGTGGCTGATGGCCACAAATCGAGCGGTCGAAGGTTTGTCAAGTAGAATCGATAGACGACATCCTTGGGTAAGAGGTCGATATCCTTGGGGCACCATCCAGCCTCCTTGAGAAGCAGATTGACAGCATCCAATGAGACGTTGGGTGGTAGCTCAAGCGGCATTGCGCCACTACGCGGGCTCATTGTTTCTAGGAGGGCTTAACGAAGTATTTGAACAGAGAGGCAAACAAGAATTGCATCGGAAAGTATTGTTTCATCTTTTCGAGTTGCGTTGGGAAGCTTCAACGTGTCCAAAGCTCTTGCCACAAAGTGATGAGCCAATTGGGGCAGAGGCGAAAAGGCAAGAGAAGAAGGCTGAATCCTGGGATGGGAAAACCGTGACCATCACCTACCTGTTCTTGGAAAGCTTGGGAGAAAACCAGAGAAACGCGGCATCTACGAAGGATGCTGAGACCGACGAGGATCCTTCTGGTAATTCATCAGAAGGACCAGACGTTCACATTCAAGGCGACAGCCGCTCACTAGTGGGAACGGGCGAGTCGTCTACAGCGATTTTCGGACCACTGTCAAGCATTTCGAAAAGTACCCCCACGGAAGACATTCGGAGACCCGTAAAGCCTCCTATTGTCGGGGTGGGGGAGACAAAAAAGATTCACTCCAAGACATCGGACCACGGTCAAGACGCCAAGTCAGCTTTGCCGCCTGGTAAGCCACAGGCGAGGCCGGACAGGCCCCCTCAAGAAGACAATTGCAGCAGTGGCGATCTGCTTTCCGCTGCGGAAAAACAGAAAGCTCATGACAAAACTCGGGGTAAAAGCCCGACGGCCAGTTCAAACTCGGTACAAGACTTCAACGTCGTTTGCTCCAAACGCTTTTAGCGTGTAATGAGCCTGTGAATTCAATTCACGTCTGGTTACGGTTAATAATAATGGAGAAATCACTTAGTCAAACGTATATATACCATGTGTCATTATGAACGTTGGCCAACGACTTGTATTCAGTGAGAGGGACTGAGGCAACTCCAATGCAGTAACTGCCGTGGAGGCTCTCACTATAACTTTTGTCACTTCTCCTCATTCACAAGAGTAGCTTATACTAGGTAAAGAGTAATATATTATCCATGTCTTACAGGCGTATACTTGGCTCGCGGGCGATACAATATATATATGGCGGCGTATTTAACTATTACATAGTTTTAACTACTTTATACAAGAACCTAATATAACAAAAACAGACTAGGCGTGTTCTTGCCAGGCAAACATACCGCTCTAATCGCCGTCTCTGCCACTAATACCAACTCACACCATCCCACCTAGCCATATTATACTACCGCATACAACTACGCATGATTTCTGGTGACCCAATGAACTGAAACACGAGATGTGCCACAATGTGCTACAAAATAAAATACTACTAATCGTTACTCATTTCGTCCCCTATAAACTCGGTGGAATAGGAAAATGCTGCAAATACCACCAGTCAATCGCTTGGCCATCACACCGACTAATAGCCTCTTCAACAAAATGGGCCGCGCTCTTACGGCCAGCTTCTTTGTGCTCGCCGAATTTCTCCACCTGCGGCTCAAGCCGGCGCGGATTCGCCCGCAAATCATATGGAGGGACCGTAGTTTAATCTTCCACAGGTCCGGCTCCGTCTTGACCTCGTGCCACACACCGCCGTCGTAGTTCCAAGTGTGAGAGCCGCCGACGACCATGCCGGAGTAGTACTGGCCGTTGAACGATTTGAGAGAATTACAGCTGCCGCTACCCAAGGCGTGGGCGTCACTGGCCTCGGTCTTGACTAAAGGCTTCTCAGCTTCTGGTATTACCGCTTCATTCAGCAGAGTTGGATTGACCCATGGGTGCATCGGGCTCACTACTGGATACCGGTCCACTTCCATTCAGGCTGTCGTGCTCATGTGCGGGACTTGAATGCTCTTCTCTTGTCTAAGTCGATGGTGTCAAATGCTATTAGAGGTAGCAGACCGCCTACGTCCTTCGAGGGTCGAGGCATAGTGTGAGATATTAATGAGACAACAAATTTGGATGCTCAAGTTATTATTAATAGTGGGTTTTATATTAGTTGATGTTAAAATATTAACAGTTGTGCACGGCTAATTCAGAGCAACATTGGTCATAGAAGAAGGGTATAGGGAGTACTGCTTTGATGATTCGTGTGTCGTCAGGATTATTCCTGTCATTAATTGGAGCCCATTCTGCTCATTCGCCAAAAGAGGAAGAAAAAGAAAGAAAAGAAAACATCCAATACCAGACACCACTGAGATAACTTTGCGGGCATCCACAGACTCCTACGAACCTGGGGGCAAAATTTTCACCACGAATATACAACGGTCAGGATCGTTCGACACACCAACCTGTAAAATGAGGCGACTGGCTGACGGCTTCATCAAACGACTCGAATAAAGCTGTGCAATTGCTGCTCCATGGGGAGTACCTAGGACATCACCACGGCAACGGGCATGATATTGCCTTGCCATTTGGGTTATTAGTAGACTGTTTTGTTATTTACTCTGTGGCCTTACTCACCTCATCACTCCGCCGTGAGATGGACAACGTCTTTATTGAGGCACACGGCTACTCGAGGAAACTGAGATAAGAGGACTCATATAGCCCTTGGTACGAAACCACACACTAGGTCTTTTTGTCCACCTATGGTTGTATTATAACACTATTTTAAGTCTTTTTGGTCATTGAATGCTCCATTCATTGACCACCTATGACTTTGCAATTTGATATACAAGCCATTCAAACTATCCCAAGAGAATACTCCTTTACATCATCCTTGGAGACTCAACTTCCATGGACAGCTTATCGTCCACGCGATGTCGCTGCAGCCAAGCCGTTGTGGTTGTGTCTGCTGCGTCGCCCAGGAGTGAATCTGCATACGACATGGCCATGGCCTCGGGTTTAGCTGCTGAAGAGCACCAGGGCCGTTCTGAAATGCGCAAGGTCTTAGATCAGCATTCCATGCAGTTCTGGAGAAAACGTTGATGTAGCCGCGCTCTAGTTGTCATGGCGCACTTGTGGCATCACCACCCGGAGCCACGTCACGCTTGAACCTATACACGTACCCTTCTACATGCGTATGGCGCACCAGACACTGCCTGGTGTGTTTGTGGGTTGCTTCATAGCCCGCCTAACTGGGAGGATTCAAGCCGGCTCATGTTCAATAGACGTGCTGTCCTTGTCCCAGTGCAGTTTAGAAGTAAACCAGCGAATGCCTTGGTTTTTTTTTCGAATAGTCTACAGGCAGTAACTAATATCTTTCAAAAACGCTTCTATTAACACAAAATCCACTTTATACCACAAGTTTTAAAAGGTATTTAAGACATGATATTGGTCGTACTTGCTTACTTTACGATTAAGCAACAAAACCTGTCAAGTTAGTATAGTACATAGGTCAATTGCCAGGAAACGAATTCAGTAGTCCAAATTGTTATTAATAAATCGAAATGTTGAACTGTATTAGTAATCTATTGCATCTCGCGCTTCTAATTTTTTAATGCACGCTGGTACTCCCGAGCCGGTTGACGACTCAGATTCACTTGGGCCAAAAACGCCATTGCGGCCGTTAGTCTACTAGTACACTCAAAGAAAACCAAAAATATATCCCAGACCAAAGTTCCATCGTCGGACCCGGACGGTATAAATGAAAAAGTAAACCAGCCTAGACAACACCCATTAGTCACCGAATGTCTCGGCAAATAAACAGCCACAATACTCACATCCAGTTGGAAACACAAAAGGCAATAAAGATGCCGAGATCTCTCCACTTCTGACTCGGCTCAATGTTCAGCGAGGCCAGGTACTCGGCGCCGCTCGCATACGGGCAGTAGCTGCAGTTGTCCGTGTCATTCGGGTTGACGAGGTAGCCTCTGCCGGCGCGCGCGACGAAATCGGCCGCAAAGTCCGCACAGGTCCGGCCGGCCGGGGGGTCAAAGTAGGCAGCCTCGTTGGCGGCACACTGGACGGGCTGGTTGGCCAGGGTGGTGGCGAGAACGCCGCTGATCCAGTACGTGCTGGGATTCAAGTAGTACAGCTGGAATCGCATTAGCCGGGTTTTCGAGGACACGAGGTGTGCAAGTGTATATACGTACCCAGTATCTCCAAAAGACGTTGAGCTGGTCGTACGGGACAACCACGCCGTTGAAGAGGGAAAACATGACGAGGAAGAAGGGCAGGACGTTGCTGATGACGGTGAAGCTGGGCGCCCAGGCGCAGATCCACTGACCCCAGCTGGACTGGAACAAGAAGAAGAGCACCGTCATGAGGAAGACGTAGCCCGAGGTCAGGGAGTCGGTGGGCAGGCCCGTGGGCCAGTACCACAGCGCCCAGTAGACGACGCCGGCGACGAGGGAGCCCGGGATCTCGGACAGCACCGAGGCGGAGCAGAAGGCGACCCAGCCGTAGATGCGGCTCGGGTACTCGCGGGCCTCCCAGAGCGCGCGGTCCATGTAGAACTTGGGCAGGATGGCGTTGAGCACGGTGGGCGGGATGAGCAGGATGAGGAACGAGGTGAACATGCGACTCTGCATGTCGTTGACGGTGTCGCCCAGCTGCCAAAAGGTGAAGCCGTTGAAGATGCCGACAATGACGGCGGTGAAGAGCTTGCCGTAAATGTACGACGGCTGGCGCCACTGGTTGACGAACATGCGCTTGGCCAGGAGCCGGGTCTGCTCCCACACGGGGGCGGCGAACTCGTGCGAGAGCACCGGGTGAGACGAGGCCGCCTGGCCGCGCTGCCGCTTGATCTGCTGGATCTCGTCGACGAGGGCCTTGTTCTCGTCCGAGACGCGCCACTGCTCGTTCCAGTGCTCGCGAGCGTCAGCGCGAGCGCCCGTCTCGACGAGGAACTCGGCCACGTTCTTGCCCTCGGGGCAGTGGGCGCCCCGGGCGGCGAAGTAGTCGACGACGGCGTGGCCGTTGCGGCCGACGGGGCCAAAGTAGAAGACGTTGCCGCCGGGGTTGAGCGCGAGGATCTTGTCAAACTGCTCGATGAGCTCCGACGACGGCTGGTGGATGGTGCACACGACGGCCTGCCCGGACGCGCAGAGCTTGCGGAGGAAGCGCACGATGGAATAGGCCGCCTGCGAGTCGAGGCCGCTCGTGGGCTCGTCGAGGAAGAGCAGCAGCGACGGCTTGGCCGCGAGCTCGACGCCAATCGTCAGCCGCTTCTTGGGCTCGACGCCCAGCGACGCGACGACGGCGTCCTGCAGCTCCTGCAGCTCGAGCAGGTCGATCACGGTGTCGACGTAGGCGAGCTTCTCGTGGCGCGGGACGTCGCGGCCCTGCCGGAGGAGCGCCGAGAACTCGAGGGCCTCGCGCACCGTCGCCGACGCCTCGTGCAGGTCCATCTGCTCGACGAAGCCGGTGCGCCGCTGGAAGTCGGACGTGAGGGCCGAGCCGTCGACGAGCATGCTGCCCTCGACGACGCCCACCGTCTGCCGCTGCGACAGCGTGTTGAGCAGCGTCGTCTTGCCGGCGCCGCTGGCCCCCATGAGGGCGACCAGGACGCCGGGCTTGGCGTAGCCGTTGATGTCGTTGAGCAGCTTCTTGGGGCCCTGCGCCGCGGGCACCGTGTAGCTGATGTTTTCCCAGGTAAACACCTGCTCGCTGCGGTTGAAGGCCTCGAGGACCTCGTCGGGGGTTCTCTGGCGCGCCACCGCCGCCGCCGTCACGTCGCCCGGCTGCGCGTGCTGCTCCTCGTCCGTCTTGTTGTCCGCCCGGGCCGCCCGCCGCGGCGTCTTGGACGACTTGAAGACGAGGGCGCCGAGGCCCGAGCCGCCAAAGGACATCTTCTCCGTGGCCAGCACCGTCAGCGCAATGTACCCGACGGTGAAGGCGATGACGATGCCAAAGTTGCGCCACAGGTGCGAGCGGCTGTACTCAAACTGCGAGGCCAGGTAGTCGGATCCCGCGACCCGGGGGTTCCCCGGATGTGATCCGGCAATGGCGCAGCCCTGGTTCTCGGGCCGAATACCAGGGCCCTGGGGAACGAGCTGCCCCGGCGCGCACTCCATGGTCCGGCCGGCGAATTCGTTGGTGAGGACGGCCTCGAAGGCGTAGCTGATGGGATTGACGTAGTACAGCCAGCCAAACCAAATCTTTTGCCCGAGCAGCACGGGCTTGGCGAGCGTGTATCCGGTATAGACGATGAGCAGGTTGAGCGCGATGCCCGAGAAGCGCACGGCGTCGTCCATGGTCGGCGACACGGCCGCAAACATGCGGTACAGCGCCGTCAGGCAAATGGTGGTGACGTACACGAGGAGCATGTAGATGAAGAACTTGCCCGCCTCGACATCCAGCCCCGTCATGAAGTACATGATGACGCTGAAGACGACCACCTCGACGGCGAGCATGGGCAGGTCGGCCAGCACGCGGGCCAGGCTCACGGCGCTCGGCCGGTAAAAGGCGTACTCGCCGTGGCGGGCGATGACGGCGCGCCCCGACACGGCCTTCATCAGCTCCGAGAGCTGCAGCCAGCCCAGGAACAGGATGGAGAAGAAGGCGACGCCGCCGCGCAGAAAGGCGCCGCCCGTGTCCGACGGCGTGTTGTAGAAGAGCGACCCGACAATGAGGCCGTTGCTGACAATGACGAAGAACTTGGTGTACAGCGACGTCTTGTCGCCCCAGACGAGCCAGAACTCGCGCCGCGTGCACGCCAGCACCTGCTTCCACAGGCTGACCGTGTAGACGGACTGCTTCAGGACCGTCCGGGACTTGGCGTCGCGCACCGAGTCGACAAACGTCTGCGCGTCGGCGTGCCCCGTGTCGCGCATGTGCTTCTCGAAGCCGCCCACGTCGTCGAGGACCACGCGGTACGCGGGACTCTCGCGGAACGCCCGCTCCAGCTCCTCGGCCGTCTTGGGGCAGCGGGCCTCGAAGCCCGGCCGGAACTGGCGCGCGTTGACGTCGCACACGGACGTGAGGAAGTCGGCCGTGGTCTGGCGCGGCGGGCAGTGGAAGCCCAGGTCGACAAAGTACTGCTTGGCCTCGCGGGCGGGACCCTGGTAGAGCATGCGGCCCTCGTCCACGACGAGCACCTTGTCCATGAGGTCGTAGATGCCCTCGCCCGCCTGGTACAGCGTGGTCAGGGTGGTGCGGCCCGAGACGTCCGTCATGATGCGCAGCGACTTGGCGTAGTTGAAGGCGGTCGAGGCGTCGAGCCCGCGCGTCGAGTTGTCCCAGCAGGTGACGGTGCTCTTGGTGGCCAGCGTCTCGGCGATGCTGACGCGCTTGCGCTCGCCGCCCGAGACGCCGCGCGTGAAGGCGTCGCCGACGAGCGTGTCCTTGGTGTGCGCCATGGCGAACATGCGCAGGAAGGCGTCGACGATGACGTCGATGCTGCCGCGCTCGTGCTTCCTCGTCTTGGTGAGGAGCGAAAAGGTGAGCGTCTGCCCGACCGTCAGGCTGGGCATGTGCTGGTCGTCCTCGGCGTTGTAGACGGCCTCGCCGCGGAACCGCCGGTCCATCCTGGACGACGGGATGCCGCCGTACACGACGTCGCCCTCGACGGCCTGGTACGAGCCGCGGTTGTTGGCGATGACGCGGAGGAACGTGCTGCAGCCGGCGCCCGGCCGGCCCAGCACCAGCATCATCTCGCCCGGCCGCACGACGCCGGTGAAGTCGCGGATCAGGTCGCGCGGCGTTCCGGGCCGCCGCACGTCGAGCGCCGGGATCCAGCGGCACAGCAGCTTGTACAGGTCCGGGCCGAACGTGCCGGCAATGGCCTGCGGCAGCGTCCGCACGCTGGTCGCCGTCGCGCCCACGCCCTTGACCGTCAGGTTCTTGAACAAGACGCCTACCTTCTTGGTCGACTCGCCGTTGTCGGGGTTGCGCTTCTCCAGGTGGCCGTCGCGGATGAACTGCTCGAGCTCGAAGCCGTCGGCGTGTGCCGTGCGCTCGCTGTCCGCCTCGTCGGCCGCCGGCGAGGACTGCTTCTCCTTGCCGCCGCCGCCGCTCCTGGCAGAGAAGATCCTGCCCATGAGTCCGTGTCCCGGCCCGGACTTCTTGTGGGCGGCCGAGGCATTGGTGCTTCGCCGGCTCAGCTCGTGCTGCAGTTCCCGGAAGTCGGCCCGCGCAGCACGCTGGCTGACGGGCCCGTCGGCGTATGTGTCCCCCCAGTATCCATCGTTGGAAGTGTCGTCTGACAGCTGCCCGTCTGTTTCGTTGTTGGTATTCGAGGTCCTCGTGGTGTCATGGGTCGCTGGAGGACCGGACCCGGCCACTTCATCGCCGCTGCCTGGCATGTTGCGCCTCTCTTTTTTTTTCGGCCGAAAGGCCCCGATGAATACTGAAAAAAACAAGCGCGTGTACAAATCGACCCAACAGCCAGACTCAATTATAGTACGGATCAAGGAGCGAGGGTTTTCTGAGTCCGGGTATAGGTGAGTGACGGTGGGATACAGGCAAGAGGTTCAAGACAGGCAGTCGCTTTGGTTCAACGGTCTGGACGCCGTTTGAACGAAGCGGCCATGACGACAATACTTGTACTAGACGGCACTAGGCCTGACAGTTCTTCATGTTGCATCATACGCTGGAGATTAGGTACTATCTCCGGCTTGTACCGTCACCCGGATTCACGCCATGTGGGTTCTCGACTTCTCAACCGTCTCGACATTGCCAGCTTGGGGCCGGACCCGCTCGTGATTATTATTAATGGACGCGGACACATTCACGGACACATTTCAGTCGTGCTACTCCTCAGCATGCTGGGTCTGTCCAATTGCGGCTCCGGGGTTGAGCGGACCTGAGAGGAGTTCACAGGAATTCACGCCATGGGTGCGGACCTGGCGTTGCAAAAGGGGCACTGGGTTGACCAGACATGGAGCAGGAAGCCGTGCCGATTTCAAAGCAGCTCTCTACTTTCAACCTGCTGTTAGGTTAGCTCCGTCCGTGGCCCGTCCACGGCACCCAGGCAGCCAATCACGAGGCCGTGTTGCGAGAATGATTCATTTCGAGTCACCTCGCATCGCCCTCCATGACCGTGCACTCCTGTCTGGTATCAGCATCCTTGATGCCCGCCAAAGCCCGCATGTCCGCCTCGTCCCGTAAAAGCTTAATCTTGGCGGCTTCCTCGCCGTTCGACTCATTGTTGGCCGAAACGTGAATGGGCCCGGCCGTTGCATTGGGTCAGCACGTCTTCTTATCGTCGCACCGCATTCTCCACGGACGCTGACATTTGCCCGCCGTCTTGGGCTGCTGACAGCTCCTTGGCCTTGGGTCCCTTTCCGTGGCATCACATGCGAGCGAGTCTGATGGCGATGCTGGTCCTCATCTCCGAACCACCTGTGTAGCCTAATCGGACTTTGGGTTCGCGTTGCATCAGCAGAGGAGCTACCCTGGCACATTGACACATCCCATCTCTCCGACTGCCGTAAGGCTGGTGGAGGCACCCAGCAGGGGCCGACGACTAATTAGGTACTACCCGGTAATAATACATTTCAAGTAACGTTATAACGGAAGTAATTACGTACATCTCCGTAGTTTCCTTTAACCGGGGACTGGCCAAATAAAATCCGCGTTGCTTTGTCTAGGGCTCAAATCGAGGGTCACGATGCAGGGGCTTTCAGGGCCTGCGACCGGCCATCCATATCAAATTCATCATTTTCTCCAGCCGTGGAATTTGCTCGCCGATGAAGCTGTTGAATCCAGCAATTCCACTGTCAGTCAAGTCCGCGGCTTTCTGCGCCTCACCATCGTACCGCGTCGCTGCAACGGCTGAACGTCGCGTCGACGGATATAAATGATTCGAGCACGGCATTTCTTCTTGTACCGGCTGCTCAACATCCCTTTGATTCCGAAAAGCTTTTCGCTTCTCAATAGTTGTGCCGTCTCCTTCACGCCATAGCGTCTTCCTTGCTCTACGGCGCTTGCGTAGTGTTCCATCCACCTGTCGTGGTGTTTCGACATCTGGCTCAAAGAGGGCTATCTGGTGTTTCACTCCACGCGCATTCAATGTTATTATGGAACATCAAGTGCTGGACGACAAATGCGCCGTCACACGATGGAAGCTGGAGCCGGGTTGCCCTCTTGGCCGCTATTTCACAAATCTCGGCAACACAGCCATTCCCACGATGGTCAATCTGATCTGTACATACTACGCCGCTGCGTGTCAAAAGCAATTGCTGCCTGTAGCCTACATACTGCCAGAATTGAAGGGCAGCGGCTCTGCAAAGACCAGAAGTGGTTGAGCTTGCGGGCAGCACGGGCATCAACCAACTTGCAACAGCGACGCAACCCAACCTCAACATTGATCTGCCCGCTAGCAAGCCCACGGCATCCTTGGCCCTCATGTTTATTGTTCTATTGTAGTGCTGCGTAGTCTGTCCATCCGAGCCCCGAATGGCAAATATGACGTGTGAACGCACGCTGGCTGGCAAATCATAATAAAAAAATAATATCTTCACGGCAATTCCCATACTGCTGAGAACTATCGTGGTCGCGGCCTCGCTAATATGCATAACAAAATTGTGAAAGGGGCTGTGAAAGATGGGCAGACTGAGCACGGAGCATCTCCAAGATGGATCAAGCGAAGGCGCTGCGTAGGTGTTGTTGTACCTTGGCTGTATTTTCTCTCTCTCTCTCTTTTTTTTTGCACGGGAACCTCATAGCTACTCTGTAGTCAAGCTGTGAAACAAATAAGCACCGTAGGATACTGTTGGGACATGGGTGCTGTTTTATATACAACTAGATGACACATTACATGTATCTAGTTTGCAAACTCGAGAAGCCGAGTTTCATCGTGGTTAAGCTGTGGTGAGGCGGATAATTGCCATGTGATAACAAACGAGTACAAAACTTAGCAGTGTGACTATGGCAATACCCTATGCATGAAAATGCGCGATTTTGCCGAAAAGCATCCTGCTTGCTGTTGGGTGAGACCTCGTCGGTCCGACAGCTAACTGGCGCCGCCAACCCAGGAGTCGGATTTGTCTGTTTTGGCAACAAAAAGACTCCAAAGGGCTTCGGCCAAATCACGGATAGATGTGTGAGATATTGCCCCAGGTGGCTTTGATGGCCATCCCAGCGACTGATTGCTGGCAGCTGTTTGCCAAACGAAACGCATCAATGGCGCCTCTGACGTTGGCAAAGGGTTGGCGGTGGTGTATAGGGTAGTGACTACGAGAGCCAGGCGTTGCAAAATCAACCAATAATGGCAGCTCTGCATTTCCTGCGCAAGCTTCGTACATTCCATCCTGGACGTCATCTTTACGATTGGGATGCCAGAACGGAACCCGCTGAAACGAATACAAACCACGAAGCAGGTGCTTTTGCCTGAATGGCGCAGAGGCGGCCGGCGATGGCACTACGTGACCGCCCCGCGACATATGGTCCAATAAGCACGTCTGGTTCTCAAGTTGTTTCGGGGGATCGCGTACAGCGAAGTGCAGAGGTGAACTGGCACATGTGGCGGCGCGTGTCGGCCGTGTGCCGGCAATATTCAGTCGTTGCATGGGTGGCACTTGTCGGGAACTGCGACATTCAAGCCGTGTTGGTCTGGGGCGGCGACCAGGTCCAATGGAAGACCGGAGCCGTCCAATACAATACAGGTTCTGTTTCCAAAACGTGTTTTGGCGCTGCAGTCGACGCGGCCAAGCCGTGATTGTCTTTGCCAGCCATGCCGTGGCGGCGCTAGGGAAGCCCGCGGCGTCAGTCAGCGTGGGTTCGGTAATTGGCAATTGGATACCAATGCCTGTGGCGTTGCATGGCTCGAGTGCATCAGTGGCGATCTTGCCAAGTAAAGTCGAACAGACGCCTCAGGCGCGTGGAGATCTGGGGAGGAGCAGCCGATGACGACGTTGTAGCGTTGCGATTATGCTCGAGAGGGTTGGCAAGTTGGATCACCAAGGGGGGTATGCAACAGCCTTGGGACGGTTGCTGTGCCAAAGGGCGCTCCGGTGCGGGCGCATTCCAACTCCCAAGATGCAGAGACGACGGCAGATGGAGGAGAAGCAGGGAATTGATGGCACTGGGAATCTGGGATGACTGGATTCTGCATGTGGATCTCATGCGGAGGAGCCAGCTTGGCCCTTGCCCTGCTTGGACCAGAGCAGTTGGCGCCAGCTGGTTCTCACTTCAACGTTCCTGCCGAGATGGTCGGGCAGCAACGGAACCGAAACTGCTGGAGAGTGGAACTTGAAGCATCATGAGGTCCAATGCTCGAGCGGCCAACATGTACGAAGCAAAACTGCCAAAACGACCCTGTGAGGTGCGCATCGGCAGACCGTGTGCATCTACCGGCATCGGCGCGGACTCGGTGGAGTATAGCGATGGTGGCGCCGACCGACAGACCCCTGCCTGCCTTGGTCTACCCCAGATTGCCAAACAAGCATCGAGGGAAGCTATTCCATTGCGTCTTCTTCTACTGACAAACAACCAATTCACAGACCAGGCGAATAATGCGTGAATCGACCGGATTCGGCCTTGATGGCCCCTGCCGTCCCAAACGCCGAATGACTGAATGCGCCGGACATATTGACATGTCGAGTAGAGCTGGGCCGCTTGCACTTTCAACATGATTTGCGCCAGTGCCTGCCTCGAGTGCGAATTGACTTTGGCGCCAGACTCTTCGTCTCTCCTCCGACCTGGCAACGGCATGACGACCTCATCCTGATACAACCTCTCGGCCTCTTTTTGCGCCACCGAAACCTAAGTCTCTCTCAGTACTCTCATTCGCGTTCCCTGACCATCATCTTTAATTCTACTCAGTACACGGCTAAAGACCCATTTTCGGCCCTTCTTGGACGCCAATGCTTGCCTTGACCGCCACACATTGTCTCAACTGGCATCTGCCGACTGCAGCAACCATCCGGCCCATCGACCGTTGAGCACTTTTTACTTTGTCACCATGGGAGAACCAGAGAGGGTGTAAGTGCAGCCACCATCTCCTTGCAGACTATTGCCGATATCCAAACCTCGTCCATCTATCGTGCACATGCCACACACCACTTAGATGAACCATGTATCCACACTCATCTGCCCCCAAGTTTCGCCTCCAATAGCTTGGGAGCGCCCATTGCCACCACTGGCACGCTCTTGGGCGAAAGCTAGCATTTCCGGTTTTGACATGGATGGAAATTTACGCTTTTCTGCATCCACCAAGCTGGCTTCGGCTTGCTCTTCTACGTAGCTTCAAGGCTTATATATAGTCTGCATCACCTCCCACATATCCTCCTTTGCAGTGTCCCCCTCCGTGTCATCAGCAGTTGAGCATCTTCCTTACTGACAAATTCACGCACTTCAGTATCCGGGGGAGAGCAATTATGAGTGTTCTGCGAAGAGTTTCCCTCTCCAAGCCTTCCGGTGAGGCAGGCAAGTCGTGGCCCGGCATCGCCATTGGCTTTTTCGTCGCCTTTGGTGGCGTGCTGTTTGGCTATGATACTGGAACAATTTCGGGTATCCTGGCCATGCCATACTGGCAGACCGAGTTTAGCACTGGATACATCAACCCCAAGGGGCATCTTGACGTCACGACCAACCAGGAGTCCGCCATTGTCTCTATCCTCTCCGCCGGCACCTTCTTTGGTGCCCTGGCCTCGCCCTTTCTGGGTGACTACATAGGCCGTCGGCTGGCTCTCATTATTTCCACCTGGGTCTTCAATCTTGGAGTCGCTTTGCAGGCCGCCTCGACTGCCATTCCGCTGTTCCTGGCCGGCCGGTTCTTCGCTGGCCTGGGCGTCGGCTTGATATCTGCCCTGGTCCCTCTGTACCAGTCCGAGACGGCACCCAAGTGGATTCGAGGCGCCATTGTTGGCGCCTACCAGTTTGCCATCACCATTGGTTTGCTCCTCGCCGCCATTGTCAACAATGCTACATCCAACCGAAACGACTCGGGCAGCTACCGGATTCCAATTTCGGTGCAATTTGCCTGGTCTCTTGTTCTCTTTGGGGGATTGCTTATTCTTCCCGAGACGCCTCGCTACTTGGTTCGATCCGGGAAGCATGAAAAGGCCGCCAAAGCCCTGGGAAGGCTCCGCCGACTTCCACCGGACCACCCTGCCGTGCGCTCGGAGCTGGACGAAGTCAAAGCTCACCACGACTATGAGATGAGCCTCGGGGCTGCCACATACCTCGACTGTTTCCGTCGTTTCAATATCAAGAAGCAATTCACAGGCATGGCCCTGCAGGCGCTTCAGCAGCTCACTGGCATCAACTTCATCTTCTACTACGGCACCAAATATTTTCAGAATTCCGGCGTGTCGTCTGGGTTTGTCATTCAAATGATCACGTCGTCCATCAATGTGGTTTCTACCATACCTGGCATGTACGCCATTGACAAATGGGGACGGCGTCCGTTGCTCTTCTTTGGCGCTATTGGCATGTGTATATCGCAATTCATTGTCGCAATGACGGGTACATTGTCCTCGGGCCAACACCCCAATGGCGACATTTACGTCACAAACTTGGCGGGCCAAAAGGCTGCCGTCGCCTTCTCCTGCATCTACATCTTCTTCTTTGCCTCGACCTGGGGACCACTGGCTTGGGTGGTCACTGGCGAGATCTTTCCGCTTAAGCTCCGTGCCAAGTCTCTCAGCCTTACTACAGCCACAAACTGGCTCTTCAACTGGGCCATTGCGTACTCGACTCCCTATCTTGTCAACTATGGTCCCGGCTTTGCGAATCTGCAGTCCAAGATTTTCTTCATCTGGTTCGGTTGCTGCTTCATCTGCATTGCTTTCGTCTACTTCTTCATCTACGAAACCAAGGGCCTCACCCTGGAGGAGATCGACCTGCTCTACACCGAGGTCAAGTCTGCGAGGAAGTCAACAAAGTGGAGACCCAACGACACATGGGTGCATCGACAGAGTGTGGCCAAGCAAGGCAGTGTCGCCGGAGATGGGCCCACGACTGTGGCCGATGCCGATGGCATCCCTGGCACCTCACACTTGGAAAAGAATGGAAACACGGCATAAAGTCGACTGGTTACGGGCATGCTTTTTGGGGTGGGTATATGTATATAGTACGTTTTCATTATATAAGTTACTAGGTACGGAGTAGTTTACATGGAGTATCCAATTGAGCTGTTTTAATCCAAGTTCCGCCCCAAGATGATGACGAATTGACTCGTGGTGGTGTAATGCATATTGCCCCAGCTGCCAATCAACAAGAGTCTCTCGCTCATTGAATTTGTACACAAAGTCAAAAAATGGCCATGCTCGAAATGCCACCAAGTGGACGTGGTCAGGCGCCGGCAGCCATGGGCAGACTCGAATGCCCAACGTCAAGGCGCACCCGGCCTCGCACCCGGCCTCACACCACAATGACAATCTCGCCCGCAATCTGCAGAAACGGCGCATGCTTGTCCTGCGTCTGCTCGTCAGTGCCCGGCTCTCTCGCCACGCCGCCACCAACCGGGTCGGAACAAGGTGACTCACCCCCCTCAGCACAAAGTGCGTAGCGACCAGCTCGGCGTACCCCACGGGGAAGGAGTCGGGGATGGTGATGTTGAACGTCTGCTCGGGCGGCTGGCCGACGGGCTGGAAGGGGCCGACCGACAGGATGGTGCCCAGGTCCTCGCCGGCGTTGGGGCACGAGCCGTCCGGGCAGGGGAGGATGCTGAGCACCACCGAGACCTCCTGCACGGTGCCGTTGTTCTGTGCCGTGTTAGTCAAGTGCTGTCAGTTCGGTTCGGGAGCAGCAGACCTCTGTCTGGACCGTCATGGCCGTGGGGGTGTTGCGGTGGACGACGGTGCCTGGTCGTGGGGACTTGATGGATAGTTGCTGCGCGGATGCGATATGGAGGCCCGCGAGGGCGAGGAGGGGGGCGAGCAGCTTCATGTCCGGACTGGTCGGTAGGATGTGGTGTTTTGGAGATTGGCTGATGGGGGGGATGTGACGGACTTGACGTGTTGTTTATAGGATGTGAGTGCTACTTATATGGATCGTGTGCGGCGCGAATACAGACACACACACACACACACACACGGCCGACGACGGACCGGACGCATACATATGTAGTATTATGTACGCTCGGGTCTCGAATTTGGACCCCGCTGGTGTGTCAGGTCGGATATGGCGGGAAATTGCAATGTGCTTGGACGATTTGGGCGGCCGGCGGGGAATGGGACTGGTTGGTGTCGTTGTCTTCTTTGTTTGCTCTGCCCGTCTTATTGTCGCCTTGGCTCGTAACTGCATGTTGGTGGGACCGTGGATCTGGCCGTGGGCGCATCCGTGGGGTTGCAATCATGGATGCTTCCATGTTTGTATGCATGTCTTGGGCGGAGTGGTGCTCACCGGCGAGCTGGGTGCATTGCGCTTGGGACGCGTCGTCTTCTTTTTTGGATCCAAGTGCCGCAAGCGGGCAACGCGAATTGATGCTTGTATGTACACGCATGACTTGTCACTTGCTGTTGGGCAGACGAGTTGGCCTGTTCTGCTGGGCTCGTCGTCCGAGCTGTCATGTCCGTCGTCTGATGACTCCATGCCCATCGCCTCTGTACTCGGTTTAATTTCCTCGCCTTGGTCCTGTTTCGGCTCGTCTTTGTCGCGAGGCTGGTCGGCCCTTCTGCCCACATCGTCGTCTTCCACCTTCATCAGCCGTGCCAACGCGCCAAGATGACAGACGCATACATGGCGTACGGCAACGTCGCCAGGAACGGGGGACGGCAGCTTTGGGCGGGAAAATGTCGCGGCCGGGACAAACGTCTCAAACGCACAGCTCCACGGGGCCACGAGTCCCTCTCGACCAACATCAAGGCCATCAAAGACAGCAACATCACCAGCGTCCCGCGCCCGGGAACATGGCAGAAGGTGCAAAGCGCCAGAACCGCTACTCTCCTCGCGTTGAACACCACCATGTCCTTTCCCGAAGGGCTTGCCAACGCCTGCGCGAGATTTGTGGTCGTGGCCGGAGAGAAACCTGCTCGCGCTCATTGTGTGTTCCAGGCGCCGCTTCCAAAATGGATGCAGCTCTCCGTGCTCGTCCCACGGCTCGCTGGCGCAAAAGCTCGTCCGTCGCTCCGTGACTTGTCTCGCAGACCCGAGGTCAATGGCAAAAGTACTCGCCGTGCTCAACCTGACATGCCTTGCAGGTGAACTCGCGCTGCAAATGCCTTATTTCATTCAGGATCAGCTGTTCGGCGGTTTTGACGATTTTTGGGAGCCTGGGCTCCTTGACGCTGAGTTGTGCTGGCTTGCGAATGCTCTGGATATCGTTGAGGCCGTCGTAGGCTGCTTTCTTGGTGAAGCCGATTGCGATGAGGGATTTATCGTCAACCTCGGCTTCCAGCATGTAGTTGTTGCCCGTGGCCGTCTTCCCGGGGGGCGTGAGAATTCTCTTTTCCAGTTGTGTGTCGATATACAGGCAAGTGTCCTCCGCCGTCTCCTCGGGTGTCTTCGGACTGGATAATCTGGAAGAAGATGAGGCTGGTCGTGGGCGCGGCAGTGTTTTGCTTTGGTCGCTTTTGGACCGACAGTGTGGGCGGTATTGGCGCTGTCGTAGGACATCGCTCTCTGGGTCTTGAATCAACGTTGGCGATCTCGTCACAGCTTTCATGGTTTTCATCCGGCTTCTTGTTGTCTCTCTTTCAGCCTGACTCAAGCCGTGTCTCCTCCTGTTGCCTCATACGTGCTCACAAGGTTATAGTTGCAAAAAGACACAAGTTGGGGCCGCTAATAAGGACCCAGGCTGTTCGGAGTAGAAGGCGCCTCAACTCCTGCGCTTTTCGCGAGCATCCAGGCAGATGAGAGCTGGATTTCACGCAAGAGTCCAGTCGGAAGGAATTGAACTGACGACAGGACCCCTTACTCCGTAATTTGAGAGCATCTCGGCGGTTGCACAATGGCTTCCCCGGGCTCCTTTTTTTGGCAGCACGCGTACTCGTGTGACCAACAAACCAGCCAGCCAATGAGATACACACAGAATCCGTACGAGGCTTCCTTCGGCCGCGGACTCTGCCGTCTTTGCAGGGGAATGGTTACATGAAACGGGTCCGAGAGTGACGCGTGAGTTCTCTTGGAAGTACACTTCCGTAACCAGCCACCGAGCCAAAGTAATTGCGGTTTTATTGGCTCGGGGCTTAGAAAGTGAAGGATTGCCGTTTTTATACCTGGTATATCAGAGGGAGTGTACCTTGACTTGATGGGCAGTTTGTGATCTGAATCATCGATTTAGCAACATGTGTTGACAGAACCCAAGATCGATTGTTGCCAAGCTTCTTGACCGAGATTCGTTGTTTGTGATGCACATAACCTGAAGGCTAGATGTCGTTGAACAACTCAGCCACAATTTCGCGATTCCCGCAGGATCGGAAATAACCCGGAGCGCCAGGCAGTTTTTACTTGCACAAGGTGGGCGGGATCCCAGCCGCACCCGTTGGTGTGACCAGTCTGCGCATCGCGTGATGCGAGCCATATGCAAGTAGGAAGTTGCCTGATATCAGGTTGGCGTAACATCGATGACGCCTCAGACTCACGAAGTAATCCCCATTTGCCCTTCTACGTGCGTAAAAGAATGAGGCCGCCTTCAGCAAGAATCCGAGTAGAAAAAATATGCAGTCGACAGTCGAAACAGATTGAGGCCCAGGTGAGTGTCATGGTACGACTTCTACGTCAGGTCCGTCCGTAATTGGTGCACAGCTAGGGCGTGCTTCGCATGGTTCTACTGGATCTAGAGACAGAATATTCGGCGGCAACTTGGACGCCGAGTCCTTGGCATACCAGTCGATTAATGTGCTCTCTTCCTTCTCTTGCATCTTCCTCTCCACGAAAGCTTCCATGGCGGCGACCTGTTCTGGCGGCAGCAGCTTGAGCCTTTCCATGAAGCCGGCGGGATTGTCCCCAAAGAAGCGCCTATCCAGCGTCCTCCAAAAGATGCCATCAAATGCCCAGGACTTGCGCGCCGCGTACACGAGCCAAAAGTCCCCCGTCTCCCAACTGCGGCGCATATGCGTGGACAGCACCTGGGGCTGACGGAGGCGGCCCTGCTCCATCAACTCACGCTCCTTTGCTTCCATGACTCGCAGGAAGCTGTTCAGCCGGGGTTCGTACTTGGCAGCCCAGTCGTCCAGCCCCTCGGTCCACTCCTCGGGCATGACGAGAAGAAGCCACCATGGCGGGGAGTAGGCGAATTCAACGGGGGCGGCATAGGTAAACTCCCAGTCTATGACACCGACGATGCGGTACTCGTCGTCAATGAGAATGTTGCCAGGGCGAAAGTCGTCGCACCACAGCTTGAAAGGGCCCGGGTCTGTGTCCGGCGAGGCAACGCCATGGTTGGCGGCCACTTTGCGGAAGAGTTGCCTCGACAAGACGTTAGTGATGGCTTGATGGGAACTGGGCCGAAACGCTTACCTGGCGATGTATTTCTTGCGACACTCATCGTCTGACAGGACGACCTGGTTTCGCTGGAACGAGAGTTGCTGCAGATGCATATCGGCCAGAGAAGAGTAGTATTGGGACGAGGTGGAAAATGTCTTGGAGGTAGGGGGTAGTTCGAAGTGAGGGACGCCTCCTACCTCCCCCAGCTGGGTCATGTTGAGGGACAGAGGCCGAGAGGTGATTTCTGGGTCGCCATCATGGCCATTCGAGTTGCTCATTCCAAGGCATCCGATGCGGGAGAAGTCGCAATTGGCCAGTTGGAGCATGATGTCAGCAATTTGGCCGTACACATGGTCGAGTTTCGCTTCGTCCATGGCTGGATCGAGGACTGGCTTGTCTTCATGGGGGTGCCCGGGCGCCCTCAGCACATCAGCCATGTCGCCGGAATTTTCAATGTACTCCATGATTAGAAAAGGACCAAGCCTTCTGGGGCTCTCGTCTGCCATGCCGTAGTGGAGGATGGAGGGCACAGGTATGGTCGTATTATCGGCTATGTAACGCATGGCAGCCACCTCGCCGAGGAGCTTCTCCTCAGCCATCCGGAAGTACCCCGGCATGGGGAAGCGAATGATTGCGGAGCTCCCATCGCAGTACAGGATGCGATAATGGAAATTGAACCCTCCAATCTTGGGAGGGAAACACTTGACGGGGCTACCACCTTTTCGATGTTTAGTGACAAACGTGGCAATCTCGTGGTAAAGATCTTCATCGTACAGCGTATCCCGCAAAGCCTGGAATATAGCCTCGCCACGGTCCCACGCGCCATCATCGTAAAGCTCATAGGAGACCATCCTCTCGGCAAGGTTGGGGATGGAGGACTTGGAAACTGAGACATCAAACTATGAACAAGGAAGAATGAACGTGTCACACGTTGAACTATGCTGGATTGGGTAACTAGTCAGGCCACCAGACAGCACAAGCGGATATTAGATATTGCGCACAGGTTGTGGACCGGTGGATACTTGAATTGGTATTCACAACGGTATAGGGTAGGATCAAGTACCAGAGAATAATATATAACAAATATGAAGAAGTACTTACAAAAGACTCAAGTCGATATTTAATATATTTTCTTACAGACTTAAAATACGTATTGATTCTTTATGTATATACTTGTTTGTATTAATAAATCCATATACTTACAGGTTACTTTTTTGGGCAACTTAATATATAGCAATTAGATTTAAATTATATAGCAGTCCTAGGCCGGAGTAGATTAAGTTCCTTTATATATTATTTTAGCTTTAAAATACGTGTAAAACTTCCGGTATTCAAGTATTTATAGTAAGTTAATTTATCTAGAATAACCTATTAATAAGCTTGCTAGTTAATTTTAAGCTATATAGAGACTAGTTCAAGCGGCTAGGATAATAGCGTTAATAGCTTTAAATAATATATATTTTTTAAAGACCTCGAAAACGCACTTTTAATTATAAATAACATGTAAGGTAGCATTCATGCCCGCCATCCTTGACAGCTGTTAGTTCGTACGACCCGAAACCCCTTGGGAATACTTGTGCGATATTATCACTTCTTCAGACTTGGACATGATGTTCCTCATCATTGAAGGCCTCGTTGAATGTGATACTATAGCCGAAAAAACACTATCCAATATATTAGAAAGCGGGCTGTCAACCTGAGGATTCTCATAATAAGCTAGTCAGAGGAGAGTGGGAAAGGACATATGATTAGACGGTTGGCACATGACCATTGGACACATTTTGACAGGGACAACGCTGAAAGCAGGGTCAAGGATGACATTGCACTGTTCATTAATGTTGAAGTCCACTATATTGTGAAGAGTCGAGGATATTCTGAGGCAGCCATACACGGACACAAAATCCTCCAAATCTATGCTAGTAGGAATACGAGTGGGCGACGAATTTGAACACTGTCAAGTGGATTTGCCGAAACAGCGGGGACTGAACATCAACGGCGACGACGCCATGAGGAGCACACTCCTGCATTATATTGCCGGAATCAATCTCTTGGCACGGCTGACGTCGTCAAAAAACTAGCCAAGCTCGGGGTGAAGCGGACTGTGAGAAACAGCTCGACGAGCTGCCCCTTTATTTCGCAGCGGCTAGGGCCACTTTTGAGACGTTTGGCTGTCTCTGGTCGTAGTCTGAACAGTCATTCGGCAGGAAAGCTCACAGCTCCGAAATCCAACTAGCACTAGACGGTACAGCCACCTTTGTTTCTTCCAGTCTCGGGGGCTTCGACCGCATTGCATTGGGTGGCTTGTCGCGATGCACTGGGTGATTGGGTGGAAATCATCGAAACAATACTGTCTCGCGGTTTCAAACAGGCAGATTCAACCAAAAGCAGCTGTAATCCATTGTATCTGGCTTTGGAACGGACAGCCTTGTCCTTCAACATGGAAAAGTGGCTACGCGTCTCGACGGCATCCATATAACCCTTGTCTTTTGCCCTTCTTGTTGGGGAGTACGATGTAATGCAAGAGTTACTTACTGAGAAGAGGTGTCTTGCCCGGCTCAGAATTAAAGCCTTGAGATTAACAGACAAAAGCCGTTGGAGAGAGAAGTCTAGCATGCACGCGGAGTTCGTTGTCCCTCAGTCGCTCAGTATTGGGGAGCAGGCCAGAAGTGTAGGCATCGCCGAGGTTCCCTGGATGGAAGGGGTGAAGAGATTCAAGTTTGAAGAATTAACACAAATTAGCTTCTCTGTTGCGTGATGTCGGGAGAGTTTGCCGAGCATGAAGGAGGAGGAGAGATGTTCATCAAGCAGGAAAGATAGTGCTGATGGAATAGTCCTGGGCAAGCACTTGCTCCCGGAAGAATTTTGTTGACTGCCTGGTCTGGTCAATAGGGAGAATCCTTCTCACCTGCCTTGTGTGGGCGACTTATTGGTGAAAGACGGGAGCTCCGGTCCCCCCTGAGTTGTACGTGCAGATCGGTCCGTGGAGTTCCTTTACCTCACCCGTCCATCGACCAATTATGAGGTTACAATCGACGAGTGCGGCACATAGCATCCAGGGGAAATGACCGCCAGACAGTGAGTGGTAGCACTGCTTCCATCTTAGTCTTGTATTTGGGTAATCGGCTCCCTAGCACGATGTGACCTTGGGCATCCTAGCATCAACGGCGATCATGGTGGAGAAAATTCCCCGATACTCAACTTGGCTGGTTCCGAGTCCGTGAATCGCGCCTTGCGGATTTCCGGCATGATTCCAAGAGTCTACAGCCTCAGACGCTGTTTCCCGACCAGGTTAGGGTTAGGCGGCGCACCCCGATCGGGCAAGGCGCCATTCGCGAGCCCCATGTTCAAAATGCTTTAAACATACATGTACTGTTACCTACGAACATAGATTTTCAATAATACCACCTTGACTCTTCTAGTAGTTGCACGTGCAAGACATGACCCCCAAATCTAATCGTACTGCCGCAACATTTGATGTCTGTACCTGAAAATTGCACAGACAAAATGGCACGGAACATGGCTCCGCTGCATGACACCCAACCCAGCGCGAATTACTCGACCCCAGGTGCACATCACCGTTGACGTTACTCCACACCCCATTTCAGGCTAGCGGCCGGGCGCCAAACCCCACGATATATCTTTAGTCCAAATCCTTGGAACATCCGTCTGGTACTTGCAAGGCTGGCGGCGGCACTTGAGCCGTAAGCGGAGAAATATGTCAATATGGGACAACCGTGCCCTGACAACAAGTCAAGAGCGGCCGTGCCCCAAGTAATTCGCCCTCAACTGGGTTGGGTGTCATGGAGCGGAGACTCGCCCGCTCATGACCCAACCGGACGCCTCTTGTCCGAGACATTTCAACAGGGTCAAGGCATCAACATCGGCCATTGCTCACACAAAAACTATTGCCTAGTTGGGTAATCGAGCAGACAGGCACATGCGCCATGATCCACTAACAAATGCCCAAGACTTATGCGCATATTTCTCTCGTCGCCGCTAGAAAAGCTAGCGCTTGAGGTGGCTTAAAATGTCTCTCCCTCACACACACTAGCACCAACTCCAGCTTTATTTTTTACTACCAATTCGGGAAATTTGAGCGATTTGTTAGTTGCCATATTTGCAAGCCCGAGGGTCCAGGTGGCGACTGCCTGGAAAGGGGAGAAGAGGCCGTAAAGGCTAGTTCTGGCAGAGTAGCTGATGCTAGAAATGAGACCACCGATGCTGACTTGCCATTGATCGACTTGTTGCACTGCTCTCTGTTTATTTTACTCCTTAGTGTCACACCTGAATGCTTCCTTGTCTAAGGATCATGTAGCACTGGTTTTAAATCAACTTGCCAAGTTATTCAGTGTTAGTCAATACCCATCTTAATATGCCATGTGTCTTGAAATAGTATAAAAAAGTTTTCATTACACAAGGCCACGGATATCAGCTCAAGAAGAGCAGATGAAAATTACTAGTCAGTTCTTGTTACTTGGACATGCCTGCCAAGGATCTCACTGGTTCTATTATTTACTCATGCTACGTAAACGGTGTAGGTCACATCAATAATTACTACAAGAAGAAATAGCTATTAGGTTAATCACGTTTCAGGAGGTACAATCCGTCTGTGCTCCCAAGTTGCCTCTGCTCAGCACTTGTTCAAGTCGTCGGCTGTAACCGTCCTGTAATTTGCTTTGACCACGAGAGTTCAAGTCTAGCGGTGGACAGTTAGAGGCACTAGAGCTTTGTCCATAATCCTACACCATCTTGAGAAAGCTTCAAGCCGTCATGAGATGCAAGTTAAATAGAGCCATTCCCCCCGTGTTCTCACCACTCATCTCCATCCCTCAAACAGTATCCTTTCTCAACATTCGCTTCTCTACTCTATAAACCCGCCAGCCATCAACCAACTCCAGCTTCTTCTCTTCACAATCGCCATCATGAAGTTCACTATTGCGTTTCTTGCTCTTTTCGCTTCTTCTGCCTTTGCTCTGCCTTGCAAAGAGTGCGACGGTTGCGGCCCAACTCCCGGCCCAGCTCCCGGCCCAACCCCTGGCGAAACCCCCGGCGACAATGGTGGCAACGTGAATGTATGCAGCAATGACCAAAAGAACGTTTGCTGTAGCGGCTCGGGAGGCTTCATGGGTGGATTCTTCTGCAACTTCAACGTTCTTGGGGAAAACTGCTCTGGTAGCACCTACTGCTGCGCTGGGGACAAGGTTGAGCAGGTGAGATACCGAGTCATTTCAGCTTCAACTTTATATTCTGCTAACCATTACCTACCTGACAGAACGGCTTTGTCAACATGAACTTCTTGAACAATCACTGCGGCCGCGTGTTTTAAACAACCGACGGTTATCATAGACTGGAGCAATGGAGTGCCGTAATAATCTTATCTCTATATGAGGAGAGATGGCTGGAGGGTTGATGAGATTGGGCTTCAAATATGCTTCAGTCTATTTTGGTTCCGCTGCCCGACGCTCGCCCGTCATCATAGCTTAGCATGTTATGCGCTTGATCCTGCCAAGCTGACTGTGTTGGACCCTGAACTTGGGCGCCGGGCATGGCCCCGTTGGCATGAGTTGATTTGGTTTCGTATAAGTTTGCCCCTGGCAACTTATGGACGCGGGCTCAAGGCTCTCTTTGAGGTTGCTTCTCTTTTTGCATGTCTCTAGATAATAATACATAAAAGTTAGGCATTTATGTCTCAAACAAATTACGACATGGTCTATTAAATGCCAACTCTCCATCCGTACGCACCACGCTCGCTCTGCCGCTATTCTGCCACACAGCCCCCCACGCTGTCCTCCTGACTCCCTGAACCTTGCCATGTGCTACTGGCATGCTCCGTAGATGGCGCTTGTTCTTAGTCCTATTAATAAGGCTCTCCGTCTTGCCTTTACCGCTTTCTAGCTCCCCCGGCCAATAAATTGGCCATTTGGCGGGTTTCCGCGTTGGCTGGATAGAAAACGCCGTATTTCCAAAGAAATTAGGTGGGAGGAGATGATTGGCGGAACACCTGATTTGTCAAACATGGAAATGTCATCGAAGCCTGGTAGGGCCTTGGCCAGAGCCTGGGCGATGGCGCAGCTAAATAGTGGCCTGGAGGAATGGAGAGTGCTGCAGGAGCAGGGTTCTGGGTGTGAAGAGGCATCCCAGTCACCAGACATGGAATTCATTGGTTTATGTGTAGATAATGCAGCAAAGCATAATATGGAGCAAATTTCTGTGTTGAACATGCAAGCAGACCAAGAGAAAAAAGCACCAACAAACACCCAACGCGTCCAACGCGTCCAACACGCCCAACCGACCTAACACTTGAATTATTCGATAATACGAAATCTGACGCCCTTGTGAGTCATGGTGCTCGTTACTAAAGTTGGAGATGGGCTTTGACCGTTTAACCGTCATGTCTTGTTCATGCTGTCCACATTGTGACGGCGACGGCATTAATAAAACCGGTCACATAAATCAGACATTCTTGCGTTGAGTTACTAACAGCAATTTTCGCACTGGAATCAAGCCTATTGACGGTGCAAAGTGATGATGTTTCTGATGACTGAAGGTCCAAGATAAAAAAGCCCTGATAACACGGGATGTTGACCCTTCTTATACCTTGTTGGAGCCCCTGACGACCCCTGTGATGGCCCTCATCCTAGCCCACACTCGAAACCCTAGAAAGAACGAATATCACAATCCTCGGACCTCTCAGACCGCTCAATTATTGCCTCACGGACCTTCAATTATCGCCTGCTTGACTCAACACCTTGGCCTCGCCGCATCAATTCCAGCCCAACGCCAAGCATTTTGGATAGCCAGTCAATAGGACCAACTGAAGCTTGAGCCAAGTGCAATCGCATTGACCCTTTGTCAGCGACTCAGCGCAATCGCCCAACCGACCGAGCCTATGCTACACGGTTACACGAGGGCTCGATCACGGGACCTAGGGCAGAAGACCCTCACCGGCTTCTTGTATTTAAAGAGCTCTTTGGCCAACTAGGCCTTGAGGAAATCCAAGGACCTTTAATACCAAAGACTGTTATTAGATAAATTGAGTTATATTGCTCTCAGCCTTTAGCCCCTGTCACAGCCAAGGAACAAGGCTATTCGGTTCCTGCTCTTCATTTAATAGCGACCAAGGTGTTCTTTACTCGTGCAGTGCATCATTGGATTTTGCCACAAATCTCATGTTGCCCGGTCATAATACCATTATATACAACCGCTCTACTTCCCCCGCTGTCAACATGGAAATCATCCAGCAAGGCGAAATGTGGATTGAGGAAGAGAGCACCCATGAGTTCAGCTTCACAAAACACGTCATGTTGAAAAACAACCCCACTAGTATTTCTACGCTGATGCCAACGATCGCATGCGCTGAGTGTCCTCGATTGATATAAACCAACTCGAAATAATACCTATATACATATTAAATAATAATAAGTAAATAAAACTAAATACTTAACTTTTTTTACTAGTTTTTACACTTTTATAAAATTGTTTTTAATTTTAAACTCCGGTTTATACTTTTATAATAATATAATATTTCTATAATAATTAATAAGAAAACTATTAAAACTATTATATTAAAAATTATAAAAGCAATTAAATAATAAATAAAAGTCTTTAAAAATATTTAATTATAATTATTTAATAAGCTTTTTAAAAAATTATTTATTAAAATATTTTATTATAAAAAACTTAATTTAAATAAAATTATAATATAAGTGTTTTAAAAGCTTTAATAATTATATTTTAATAATTATAATAAGGCCTTTTAGAGCTTTTTAGTAATGCTAATAAATAGCAGCTTGTTTCTATTAAAAGTAGCTTTTAGCATTAATAAAAGTATAATCTAGTAGGTATTATTGGTAATATCTTCCAGAAGAGCAACCGGGAGTATAAAGCTATTCTTAGCTATATTCTTCTCACTGCGCGTGCAACAATCCGGGAGTCCTATATACCAGGCCGTAAAAGCATTGTCGGTCAAAGAATCAGCTGCCTGTTAGGCCGTTAAACTCGCTTGCCAGACCAGCCTACAGCGACGCTTAGCAACACCACGACGGTATCACGAAAGCAAGTTTTTTTGTCGACTTGCACTTACACGACTATTTGCCATGTCAGCATTAAAGCCAGGAGTTCAAACATCTGCAGCGGTAACTCGACAGGATTTTGCGTCGGGCCGATAATACGTATACGAATATAATAATTACTCTAAAAGCTTTACCAGATATCAGATAGTCGACGTCTCTTGGACGCCGCTACTATATATCGAGCACACGGAATACTGTCAGCCTAATAAGCCGGGAATTTATTCGAAAGTAAGTTCTACTTTATGTTAAGACGATAGCCTTGTCTAAAATAAGAGCAAGTATATTAATCTAGTCGGCCTTTTGAGCTATATAATAATATTATATTAGACTCTCATACTATTCTTGGAAGCGATTCAGGGAATATAATAGCTAGAAAGCGTATTGTCGCGAAATAAGCTCTTATTAATAGGCTTGTGAAAAAGCGCCACTTTCCGAAGAAGTAGCATATTGTAAACGCAGACAAATACTTGAAGCTAAAAGACAAAAATAGATTGCCAATGCAGCTGTCGCTTCACATGCACAAAGCCGAAGCAGATTTGTCATAAATCAAGGTCTCAGAATAGGGCATGTCGTTAGTTTCTAGACTCTGGTGCCGAGTCAGGGCACTTTAGGCAGCAGCAAGTACTCCTAGTTGTCGGCACCCGCGGGCCGCTGGTGGAGTCGCTGCAGTATAAGAAAGTCCAGCAACAAGTGACCTGATATGGCAATTTATAAAGGTTCAAATGTTATCTTATAGAATGTAGTATAGCTCGTGGGTGGGCTTACAGTTCTATATATTATACGAAAAAAAAACCTAGTATATATTTTTAACTTAAAAATTTGTTATATAATTTTATATATATCTTTTTTTTTTTTTTTTTTTTTTTTTTTTTCCCTTTTAGAAGAGGTAAAACCGCTAATATAAATTTATTAAGCAGCTTTACTCTTAGTATTACTAGCCTTATTAGGCCTTTTTATAGCTAGTATAATAGCCTTTTTAAAGCTATACTTTAGCTTTATATTTCTAAAAGCCTTTTTTTTTATATTTTTAATAATTTTATTATTTTTTTTAATTTTTATTAGGTTAAGATTTTTAGCTTTATAATAGCTATCCCTTTTATTATAAAAAGCTTTTAATCTAATATTAATTATATTACCCTTTAAGTCTTATTAGCTTTTAACCCCTAAAAGTTATAATAAGTAATTTACTTATATTAGGCTTTATATTAGGTAGCTTAGCACCTTTGCCTATATTATTATTATTTATAAATAGCTATAGTAGATATTAGTAAGTAAGCAGTTATAGTACTTATAGGAGATATATATATATAGGGGTAATAACTTATAATTAGTTATTTATAATAGGGTTTTAATAGTAAAAAAGGCAGATAACTTAGATAAAAAGGAACAGGACTAACTTAGAATATAGGCGAGAGCAAACTATATAAATATATTATATATATAAGTATTTTAGGTTTTTAGTATAACTTAGCGTGAGTTATAAGTATAAAGTTAATAGGTTTACGCTATAATATATAAGGTTTGCCTTTATAATAATAGTAGCTAAGGCTATTATAAAATAGCCTTAGCTAGCAGCCGCGGCGCGGTACTAATTACGCTAGTATATTTAACATGTTATAATATATATATAAATAGTTTACTTTTCTAGTTTCCTACTATTCTTAGCCTAATATAACCTAGGTATTATTTTAGATTTTACGCTTATATAATACCTATATTATATATATAATTTTATTTGATTATAGAGCAAATTAACCATAAATTAATATCTTTTTTTTTAATTATAAATACCCTTTAATACTACTAGAAGCTTAAAGCTATTACTAGCTATTACTTACTTTTATATATATTAAAAGTCTTAAAATTATAAATATATATTAGAAAATTGTCAAGGAAAATAGCGTAGAAAAATAAATAGGCCTTATTGTTGCCCTAATACTAATTATAATCGCTTATTAACCCTAAGTAGTACACTAAATAAAGCTAGTATTAGGTAAGTATATACACCTAATATTATATTTCTTTTAGGCCTTTTACCAGGGCTTATATATTAAGGTTTTCTTAATTAAATTAAACTTTTTTCTTATAAAAGGATATTCTTATAGGAGATTTTACTAACGTAACATTTCTGTTATCTCCATATTTAACTGTTACACAAGTTATGCAACATGTCTGGTGGGTCATAATATGACCGGCCCATTTCACGCCCGCCAGCTGCATATGCCCAGGAAAAACCAGATATATCGATGGAGTCTTACCTGGTCTTAATTTAACAGCTTGCAAGCCAGCTTGTTCCCGTTTTGTTCGGGTTGTGGGGGGATTATTATTCGGGTGCCTAACGTCCGGTACCACCAGCAACATTATGCACTTCAGCTCTCCGAAACTTTGTGACAAAGCACCGGGGCCTGGCCATGCAATAGGCCTCTGTATGTTCCACGGAGAAGAAGGTGGTCTGGACTCTGACGGGTCATGAAGAAACATCTCGCTTCGTCCCTGGCGTTACACCCCGGTTGTAGTATATGCCGAACAATTAGCAATACGTTGAATAAATCTTCAAGACCTCACCAGCGTATCAAATACATCCATATAAAGTGGTAGAGGGCCGCAGAACCAGCTCAAAGCTCTTCATGGCAACAACAAGACGCTGTTTTACACTTGACACTTGGCTATTTCTTCTGCTTCATTCTTTTGGGTCTTGATTATGGGCGTCATGATGCGTCTACGTAGCCTCGCCCGTTCATGGGTTCTCGTAGCATCGTCTTTAGCTGCCGACGTTGGGCAACAGGGCAGCAGCACGGGCGATGTCGGTTCTGGACTGTATGTTCTTGAGTCGGATGAAGCCGAGTTAACAGCACTAGCCAACACTCTTCAGCAGGGCCAAGGTATCATCCGCCACAAATACAACTCATCCGTGTTTCGGGGTCTGGTGTTCCAAATACCCAATGCCACTCGTGCCGAGGAGTTTCACGCTGAGCTTCAGAAGAAGGGTTTCGCCAGGAGGACCTGGTCTGTGACGACGAGCCCGGAGCCCGCTGCCGATGATGAGCAGCCTGGCACCCAGCAAAAGGACGAGAGGATACGCCGTGCCGCGAAGCGAGAAGACTCCAAAGTCCGCTGGACGCACTTGATGACAACTATAGACAAGCTTCATGAGAAGGGATATCTGGGACACGGCGTCGGAATAGCCGTGATTGACGCGGGCGTAGGTTTGCCATGCTGATCCCCGCCCGTTCCGGAACCAAATAGCTCACGTACTGGATAGGTAGACCATCAGCATCCGGCCCTGGGCGCGAGCACCGGCATCTACGCGCTTGTTGACGAGGCGCGCGGTACCTGGGATGCCGCCGTCCTCAACAGCGTCATCATAGGAACCGGCAAGCCGCAGATCGAGAGCCCGAGCAGCTTCGTCAGCGTGGCTCAACAAGGCAGTCGTCTCGTCCGCGCCTCGGAAGCCGCGGGTGCCATCACCCTCGTCGTCACCCCGACGAGCCTGGCCTTCAACGATACCGCCCACCGCGTCCCTTCAGTCAGCTTTCGTATTCAAAATCAGGCCAAGACCACAGTCCAATACCAACTATCCCCCATCTCAGCCCTGACCCTATCCACCCTGGGTCAAGATAATCGCCGCGCCTCTGGCCAGGCTGTCCAAGCCCCGGCCAAGGTCCAGTTTAGCGAGAGCGGCATCACACTCGGTCCGGGAGAGTTTGCTACCATTGATGTCTCCGCGTCTGATCCCGAGGGCCTGGATGTGAAGCGCCTACCCCTATGGTCTGGCTGGATTGGCATTCAGGGCTCCGACGGCACCCGCCAGACCTTGCCGTATCTAGGTCTTGCAGGGGCTCACCTGAAGTCGAAGTCTACGCTGCTCGCCTGTGCATCTGCCGGGATTCCGCGGCGGATGCAACAGTCCCGGCGCGGCTCAACCTCACCAGAACGTGCGTCCCCACGGCTTCGTTGACAGAGGTTAGGGGCCTCCAAGCTCTGGGACGGATTACCAGCTCTCTTCAGTATCATGTCTGTATTTGCTGGACTCGGGGCCACTCTTTCCTAGCTTTATTTTTTCACCGAGTAACTAGACGTCTCAAATAAAGTTGATGCCTTGAATATAATGCTCACTGTTAAGAGAACCTGTGTACGTCCTATCCTCAGCCAATTTAGGAAAACCTCCAAGAAATATTAGGGGGTAGTGTTTCTGGGAGTTGTGGGCAGATAAAACGAAGGCCAAGTGTGGATGGCTCACGTATTGAGTTTATCAGGCGATAGTTAGAGGTTTCAAGGGCCCGAGGCTCCGAGAGCCGTGATATAACATATTTGATTTTTCTAGGGTTTCGAGTTAGGGATAGGGTGAGGGCCATCACATGGGTCCGCAGGGGCTTTAACAGGGTATAAAAAGGTACAGGTCAATTTCCCGAGTTTTCAGGGCTTCCATCTTAGACCTTTAGACATTGGTAATATTATTATTTTGCACTATCAATATCTTTTATTCCACTGCGAAAATTGCTGTTGATAACTCATTATCACTCGAGGTCCGTTTTTGTGAAATTCGACAACCTGCCGACAAATCTCTTTAGATGCGGAAGAGCTCGTGGAGACTCGCTTATCAAAGAAGACTGTATGTCAAAACAGTCTCCGCGAGCTATTCCGCATCTAAAGAGATAGTATTTGGTCTAGTGCTTCAATACGCCTCCGTATTACTCCATACAAATTGTAATAGTTCATATAATTTATTTGCTCAATAGCTACGCCGGTAGTACTGACAACCCGCTATAGTCCGCTGAGCTTAAACTCCGTCGGAGAACTCTATATAACGGCCAAGCTAACATTTACACCCCATGTTGACGACTTGCTAGTATTAAAGATTGCTTTAGTTTTTGTTGGCCAAGCACAGATTACCCCACCAAACGGTGGTGGTACCAGACAGTAATACCCTGGGCAGCATACCTGGGGGGCGTCGTCCGTGAGACATGATTCACCACCGTTTGGGCACATGGGTGCCTCAGCAAGATGCTGATTTTGTGGTTCTGCCAGGCCGAGGCCAGCAAGGATCGAGATCAGAATTAGGAACCTCATGTTTGTGATGACGACGTGATTTTTTGAAACGTAGGCAGAGGGTGATAGTAAGTGAACATTTGAGTAAAGATTCCTCAGGAGGTTAACTTGAGTTGAGCAATGCCTGCGCTTGGACAGAAATGCCTCCAGACTTTGATACTTCTCTGAAATTGAGCTTTGGACACGCTAAGATGGCCGCTTTGCGCCGGCACATGGTCTGACAGGAAGCCCGATCTACTCTGTACAAATTACAAGCTGAAGATGCATATCTTGAACAGACTTGCTAATCGGGCCTTTCAGCTTCTTCGTGACACAATCTAGTAATAACAGCCGATGATTGGTTCTAAACGTCGGAATTGGGTGGTAGGGTGAATCTTTACGTTATATTGGTTTACTTAGCGGCTGAGATTGGTGTGCATGAGACTTTGACTGCGTGATAAAAGATGACGGATGGTAGAACTCACAGTAGCGATGAACATGCGTCGTCCTTTGGGTAGACACGGCCCGCACTTGATGACAATAGACAGAAAGCACGCGAGTCAGAGCATGTACAAGTCACTGTGATAGCTGACATGGAACTCGAAGCATTCACTGGCTGGAGAGAACACTGACAAGTTGGAATGTGGGATAAACTTGGTCGCACATAGGCAAGGTAGCTGTTAGAAAGGCACCCATCCCCTAGACATATTCCGGAGGGAAGTGCGTCAAAATAAAATCAGGCAGCGAGATTAAAACATAACTTGCTCAAAGTACTCCGTAGCTGCCTAGCAATCGTTTACCCAGCGTCGGCAATTAAATAAATCTCAACGAGAGTCAAATACGTTATTACAACACAATGGGCCTGGTCGGCATCCGTTTGGTGCTTGTCACCACGGCGCGGAAATCTCAATCCAAATCTTACTTCAAAGATGATACCCGGCGCACATTGAGCTGGATTTAATGAATTTTTCCAACTAGTTATATACAAAAAATTGGCGTGTGGATTGTTACTTGGGGAGGAAAAGTAATGGCTTGATAGGTATAAATCCACAACAGCGCCAGTAGATTTATCGCTGTCGAGCCAGGGATGGCATCCGTTGCCATATGCATGTCATGCTTTGAAGTTCATGCTTACGGAGTACTCAAACGCGTCACAAGCGTATCGGCATGTCAGTTCAAGGAGGCTTTCAAACTTTGCCCATGGGTGCCATCCGGTGGCGAGAACACGCGCAGATGTGTACGGAGTAACAGCCCAAGGCAACGACGTAGGACAAGCCAGAAAATAGAATCAGGCCCAACCAACCGCTGCTCTCTTGGCCACCCCCCAGCAAGGCGTCTCCGATGGGTACACTGGTCAAGGCGCCAAAGCTCGCAAGCATCTGCGCCGTGCAAAAATAACCGCCCGTACTCTTGCGGAGCACAAAATTGGCCAATACACACGGGCGCCAGTCCAAGGTTGCTCCCGCTTGCGAAGCCAAACAGGACGCAAAAAGCAGTAATAGTCGCTCTCGAGAAACCAGGCGGTAGCCAAAGCCCCAGCAAGGTGGCAACACAGAGCGAGATTGTCAAGATGATAACGTTGAAGCGCCCCATCTTGTCTGCGAGAAAGCCCCGCAGAAATCTACCAAAGACGGAGCCTGCGTTGAGCAAAGACAAAACCGTGAAGTTTTCTGAAGTCTTGAATCCGTGTGCCATTGCGTATGAGACGATGTAGGTCAGCGGCACAAAGAGCCCGAATTCCATGAAGATGATGCCCAGCGCCGACAGATCATATCTCTTGTCCCATCCACACAGAGTTCCTCTTGCCATTGGCTCCGCCATCAGGTCCGTTGACCCGGGGTGCAAGACGGGTGCGGATAAAGATGTTGGCAAGGGCGCAGAGCCCGCCAAGAACAGAATACGTCAACATGATCTGATAACAGGCTACAAGAAAATACCGTTAGACGCCCCTGCATGAAAAGTGTCTGCACCAGACACCAAGAAGCACCGTGGCTGCAAGGGGCACGTACTCGTTGAGATGCTCAGCAACATCAGACTGGCCACAACACACAAGCTGCCCGCCGCCAGGAGAAGTCTTACCCCTTGCCGATCAAATACAGGCCCGGCCTGGACGCCGACAAAAAAGACCAGAAACAGGCACAGGTTGAAGATCCAGCCAACCTGGGAGTTGCTTTAGTCTTTTAGCTGGTGCGCCTTGAAGTACGACTCAAACACGGCCGCGGTGTTGAGGGCAATACAACCAGCCACGCCTGGAACCCGCCATCAGGGAACGAGACTTGAACCTCGCGCTCGGCTGAGACCAAATTGGCATTCCGAGGGGCCGAGACGGCGATATCTCGTTGCGGTGTGGATGGCTTTTCGCCGTGGTTGGTCGTCATGGCCCCTGCTCATGGCAACTCGTGGTCTTGAACCCATGGTCCTGGGGGCTGAGGCGGTTTTTGTCGCAGGTGTCCTCTGCTTGTTGCGGTCAATAGACATGTGAAGCCCCCAGCGGCTTGGAGTAGGTTCAATATCGTCTGGTGGTGTGTCGCGTGGTTTCAAGGGATGGGCTCAAGAGGGCGCGGGCGCGAGGTGAGTTGGCACAAGGCAAAATGCATGTGTAGCTAGAATAGAGGAAGGAAAGAATATCCAACCATAGTTGACATTATCCCTTGCATTTTGCTCGGCCAAATTGGCGGTCCAGGGTCCGACTAAAATTTTAATTGACCGCACATGCAAACAAGGAAGCGGGGACGATGCGCACCCTATTTCGGTGGCTTCGGGACCAGGCGCCGAGATGTAAAAGCTCCACGGGTGTACCCGGCGTGGCTGGCTCCAAGAAACGCTCAACTAAACGAGCCCCCACGCATAAATGTAATTCTTTGCCCTATTTCGGATATTGGATTAAGAAATTGCGCAGGGCGCGGTTACCCCGCCGATATACAGTACGTCCAGGTAATTCCAAGTTTAGCCCTATTTTAGACTAAAATCGTTTTTTAAGCACTTATAATTATATAATATTATATTATATTGCTTTATAATAAGAGGAAAAATTATAATATAATACTACTTTTTATTAATTGGCTTTATACTATTTTTCTTAATTTTTCGTCTTAATTTTTTTTAGCTTATAAAATATCTAAAAACCATATTATACTAAAATTCGAATTATAATATAATTATAATATATTATACTAAATTATATTATACTAATTTTCACTAAAAACTATAAAACTTTACTACTTTTATAGCTCTAATTCCAATTGTATTACAATTCGAATTTTAGTATAATATAATTTGTAGCTATTTTATAAGCTTAAATTAGCTAATAATATTAGTAAGCTAAAATAGGGCCAAATTTGCTTCCTAATACTAATATTAATAAGTATAGATTAGCTAGCCTAATTAGGCTAATAACAGGAATTAAAAAAAGCTAGGAAAATATTAAAAGGCGATTTATAATATTACGACCCAGCCGCAGGCTGCAGTGTAGGTCACAAGAGTAGGCCAAGCTGCATAAGCTACGTGGCAGCACAAGCAGGAGGGACCACAAAATAATAGTTAGTATAAGCTACTAGTAAAAAGGTACTTACTATATATAAAGTAAGTAATATAAGTAATTATAATAAAACTAATATAAGTAATATTATTACTTATATCTAGAATAAATAATTATTATAATATTAGTTTGTGGTTAATTCGCTCTATAATTAAATAAAATTATATATATAATATAAGTATTATATAAGCATAAAATCTAAAATAATATTAGGCTATATTAGGCTAAGTGTAACGGCTAAGGTTCCCAAGGGATAAACTAGTCGTAGTTTATGTTGGCAGAGCCACTAGGGCAGTCAATCTGAGCAGTTGGGTGTTACGTTGGTAATAGGTCGTAGACCGTAACCAGGTGATCAGAGTCAAAGAGTTGTAAGCAAAGCTTATTTAATGTAA